CACAGAAAAAAGTAGAAAGAGAAGTGAGGAGTAGTTAGAAGTACAGGTGGAGGTACAGATGGGGGAGGACGGGGAGAGGAGGAGGAGGAGGAGGAGGAGGAGGAGGAGGAGGAGAAGTAAAAATGAAAAATTAGAAGAAGAAAGAGAAGAATAAAAGGAGAAAGCAGGAGAGATGGAGGTGAAGGTGAGAGGGTGGCACTCAGCCAGAGAGAGATTTGTCTCCTTCTCTGACTCCCACCCAATGACCGTCCTCTTGAATTCTCACATCATTCATGCTACCCACATATATAGAGAGAAAAAAAGGAGGAAAAAAAAAAAATCTATAACAATCCTAACACTACATACACCTCTCCAGCTAGCAAAAGACCTCAAATAAAAACCACATGGACCCTCAGACATTTGTGTGCGACAAGATTAGCCATGATATCACAAAGTAGAAGAGCAGGATGGGGTACACGGCCAGGGCCTTCCTCGTACTGGGCTGGCTGTCACCTAGGAATACCATTGCCGCTGGGGGAACAAGGGATAAAAGACAGGATTAGGAATGTTATAATTATTATTACTATTATCACTGTCTAATTTTACAAAAAGGAAAATTTAGTAATACATACTTCATTATCATCATCAATACCATTACCACCATCACCATTAATATTTTCATCATCTATCATTAAGAAAAATTACCATACCTTTCAGAGAGAGAAGGTGAGAGAGGAGGAGGAGGAAGAGATGGGTGAGGAGGAGGTGGGAGATGGGGAGGAGGGGGGGAGGGGGAGTAGAAGAGGGTAAGGAGGGAAGGGGAGAAGGGCAAGGAGGAAGAGGAAAAGGAGGTGGGGAGCAGGAGGGGGATGATAATATCCATTCTTATCAAGTTTAGTTTCATTAATTTGAAATTGTCTTTCCTAAATCTTTGACTACATTAAAAATGGCACATATGATTGGAAAGTTTACTGTATTTGTATTTTCTTTTTCTCTTGAAATAAAAGTAGAGTGGTAGTTGGCAGGGGTGTTACCTTTGATAATTAATAACTAAATTCGAGTCATAATCTGAGTAATAGTATTTGCTTCTTCTCAAGGTTAGTTCCTTAACTCACCTAGTTTTCTTATGACCTATTGATTATATTAACCTGATGCCATTGGAGATGCCCACTGTGAATTTAATACATTAACCCCTTAGATCTAAGTGTTTCAATGCCCAAATGTTGCCCAAAATCTGGGCATTAGGCTTACTTGAGTGGCCACTCTCATGGGTGCGGGGCTTGTAGGTCAGATGCACATGAACCTGTGCAGTCTTAAGACTTATTACCTCCTCTTCAAAATGTTATATCTTTTTCTGCGAAGCATTTTTTTGCTTTTTGGACGTTTTGCAATGTCTATATCTATTATTTGATATGCTGAATCCAGTCATTGGTACATTCCACACTCATTTACCAATAGAAATAATGCAAGAGCTCTTTCCTAAATGCCACTGAGTCTAATCACCTTCCAAGAGCTTTGTGCATCAGTCATTTGCATCACCCTGGCTTTCAGTTGAAATTCTCATGATGGCATGTTCCCATCACCCCGCCCGTCTGCCAAACTTTTCCGTGGTGCCATGTTCATGTCACTTAGAGCTTAAGCCAAATTTTTCAAGATGTGATGGTTACATTGCCTTCATCCATAGGTCTTTACATACATATAGCTCCACAGGTACTTAGTCACCAGGGAGGAAGAGGTGACAAAGAAAAAGAAAAAGTAGAAAAAGATGAAGAAGGAAAAGGAGTCAGAAGTGGAGTGGAGGTGCAGATGGGGTGAGGGTGAGGGGGGGAGGATGAAGATGAGGGGGAGATACTACTTGTCTCACCTGCTTACCATTTTCCCTGATTTCTAGAAATACTTTCTTGTTACTATTTTCAATGATTTTTGGAAATATTTTTGTATTACCATTTTCATTCACTTTTAGAAATATCTTCTTGTATCTTATATTGCCTGTAGTATTTTCAATAACATTATAATAATCATAATGTCTGTAATAATAACAGAATCTATATTGATAGCATTCATAAAAAAAAACAAAAAAAATACATGGAATAGTGAAATCAGGTGAGGTCATGAGGTCTACTGACTGACTCCTTGGTGGCTGAACACTTATGGAGCCATCTAGGTGTAGAGATATTCCACAAAATCAAACAAACAACATTACATTGAACACTATATCTTCCAGGTGGCATTGGGTTAAAACCGGCATATGTGATCAGGTTTAAATCATACTGGATGTTCTATTTCTTTATACTTCCTCTTCTTTTAAAACAGGCAGGAGGAGGAGGAGGAGGAGGAGGAGGAGGAGGAGGAGAACAAAGTAAAGATGAAGACGGGGGTAAAACAATAACAAAGAAATGAAGCAACACACTCAAATATAAAATCTAACACACCAAACAATAACTATTAAAAACAATTAAAAAAAACAAACAAACTATAAAACATAATCCATACGTCTTTCAGAGTACATCACAAATCCTAGAAGGTACAAAAAAACAATGACTCTCAAAAAACAGAGCAGCAAAATAACTTACCAAATGTTGCCCAGACAAAACCGATGACTGTGACGATGAATCTGAGGATGAAAAGGAGCTTGTTCTGCGTGGCGATGAGAATGAGGCGACATAGGATGAGGGAACCGCAGCATGGCAAGAGGCAGTAGCCCAGGACACACACAGACTGGAAGAAGGATCTGGAAGGAAGGGAGCTCATTTCAGTAACCCTAAAGGAGGAACAGGAAAAGGAGGGAAAGAAGAAGAAAAAATTAAGTGAAGAAGGGAAAAGAGAAAGAAGAGGAGAGTGGATACTGAAGATGATGATGGAGAAAGGGAGGAGGGAAAAGAAAGAGAGAAAGAAAGAAAGAAAGAAAAAAAAAATAGGCAAAAAAGGAAGGAGAGGAGAGGGAGGAGGAGGAGGAGGAGGAGAAAAGAAAGAAGGAAGTAGTAGGAGGGGGTGTAGAAGAAAAAGGAGAAAACAAAGAGATGAAAAGAAGAAAACAGAAGAGGAGGAAAAAATAACAGCAAGAGGAGGAGGGAGACTGAATCATACAAGCTTCATTAACTATGGTCTTGATGGTGTGACCACCACGTTATGCAAATATTTGACTTGAGGGACTGGTGATGTGAACATGGTGTCATGGAAAAAATTGGCAGATGGCTGGGGTGACGGGAACTTATTGTCATGAGAATTCTGGCTGAAGGTCAGGATGATGGGAATGACTGATCACTGGAAGAGCAATGGCTCTAGGGAGAATGGTATTTCCATGCTAAGGATCCTATTCCTGGATGCAGTGACCAGTGGTTAAGGTTGTATTGCAGAAAATGGAAAATTATCAAAAATGTAAAATATCACTTTTTTAATTATTACTGCAGAGTTATGGAATATTTATGGAGTCTGTGCAAGGAAAACAGTCTATTGCAGATAAAACAAATCAAATGACAAATTGGAAAATGGCACAAAAGATAAGAACATTTATACATAAAAAGAGAGAGAGAGAAAAAAAACTTTGCAAAGGGTAGGTATGGAGTCTTGTCACCATACGTGTGTTTGTGTGTGCCCAGAGTACAAATTGCACACCTGTGGCCTCTCAAGTAAGACTTCTGCCCGGATTTTGGAGAAGCACCCAGATACAAGGGGTTAATATATAAGTAATGAATATTCAAGTCATCGTAAGAAATCAATAATCAAACAAATAATATGCAGTGATATCTAATACATATATTATGAGTCAGGATTTTTAAAAATAAAGGATAAACAATAAACTTATATTAATAATAAATGCATTAATGCATTATATAAATCATCAATCATCAAACCATGTGGTTTTTATATAATATTAGGCAATAAGTTACTGGATCTTTCCAGGATAATAATTGAATGTTGGTATATATAAAAAATATTTTGATTTTCAGCAAAAATAAAATATACTTCAACTATCAAAGTTAACCCTTTCCTGACGGGCATGGCATATACATATATTTGATTGTTTTAACACATAGATGACTATACTTGTACTAAATCACCAATGAGCCAATTATGAGTACTGTCTGTCTCAACCATTTACCCTTTTCTTTAATTTACGAAAATATTATACGTTATCTTATTTTGCTACTACTAATGTTTATAACATTATATCAATTATAATGTTTATAATAAAAATAACACCATCAATATTCATAGCGCTAGTAAAAAGTACATTTTCCCGCCAATTCAAGAAAAGGTGAAATTAGGTAAGGCAGAGCCATCTATGGGCAGACATTTCACAAAAATATAAAAAATGAGCACAGCATTTTCAACATTTTTTATTCATTTTCCCCATCAGCACGGGGTTAATAATAATAAAAAAAAATAACAGTGAAAGAAGTTTAACTAAACCTTCCTTCTGGGCCTCAATGAAAAAAGGGTCAAAAGAAAGCCAACTCACAAGTAAAGGAAGAATTAATAGTAACACTGCATTCAATGTCTATCAATATAAACACAAAAAAAACAAAAAAATAAATAAAGTACATAAAGAATAAGCCCACATATCTATAAAAACAATAACAACAACAATAATAATATACAATATTGATAAAAATAAAAGCAAATCCAAACTATCTGTAGCACTCACATGGTCCCTCCTAGGAGCTTAGTGTTCATAGTGACGACTGCTGCACCGACCCACACGATGACAAACACTTGTGCGAACTCTGGCCCTCCATCACCGCTATCAGCATCTTCTGAGCCTTGGACCATCCTGCGTGGCCACAAGAGTTTCAAAATTACAATTAATTAATTAGTGGAAATTATTATATCATATCTAGCATTACTGTGTGTGAAGGAGACAGATCCTAATAATAAAACAGGTTTCTCTTAGGTTACAAACACTGAACTCACTGATGCAATATGAGTCATAAAATTCATCCAATGGTTTTGATTCTAATCTCAATGCAGTTAAGTTCATTTCTTTCTTAAGAAAAGAAAGAAAGAAACATAGAAAAAATACAATGACAAAGATTCCCAAAGAAAGAGGGACAGAAAAAAAAAAGACAACACAGCAACAAAGAACAAAGCCACAGCAGCCAATACTTACATGGCAAGAAATGTGCAGAGTATCAGAGGGCCCCAAAGATCCCCTGCAAAATGCCACAAAGGCTTTAAATATATGAACACATGAAATTGTGTGGATATGTGTGGATATGTGTGGATATGTGTGTTTATGTGTGTGTGTGTGTTTGTGTGTGTGTTTGTGTGTGTGCGTGTGCGTGTGCGTGTGCATGTGTGTCTCTAATTGTACTTAAAAAAGCTGAAAAATAAAGTGTTTTTGTACTTCGGATATACCTGAGGAACAAATCAATGTGGATAAAACATAAAATTAATTCAGAATATGCTGATTATAGTATATACTGTCAAAACACATGACATGAAGATATGGGATCTTTCTTTTTCATTTATTACTTCTTAACCCATTGCCGCCAAGGAAAATGAACAAAAAATGGGGAAAATGCTGTACTCATTTTTTATATTTTTGTGAAATATCTCTGCTAGTCCTGATTTCACCTTTCCTTGAATTGGCGGGAAAAAACATATTCTTACTAGTGCCATAAATATAGATGGTGTTATTTTTAACAAGAAATTAGGATAACGTTAAATATTCTTGTAAATTGATGAAAAGGGTGAATGGGCGAAACAGGCAGTTCTCATAATTGGCTCATTGGTGTAGACATCTATGTGTAAAAACAATCAAACAAGTAACCTCACAGTGGGTATGGCACGTACGTACGTGCCATCCCTGGCGGCAATGGGTTAAGCTACAGCTACTATTGCTAATAAGAAATAAAAAAATATATATATATACTTAAGCTGCTTAAACACTCACATTCCTTTAATAAAGCCTTTTTTTCCTTAGGATAAAGTACATGATAGAATTTTGTGCCAACTGCCCTGAGGTCTCGCATCTGAAAAGAAAACATTTGTATTAGTTACATTTCAAGAATATGAAACAGAAGTCAATACTAAAAGAATATCAGATTGATGAAATGAACAGAAACCGATGATAATGAAAAGGTAATAATAATAATAATAATAATAATAATAATAATAATAATAATAAAAAAACAGTATGTGTCAACAACACATCAGATACGCCATGGCCACAAGGAGGGGATAAGTTATATGAATTCTTGTGTTTTGAGATTAAAGCAGGCACTGACTCTATGAAGAAGGCCATGATGGAAAGTAACAAAACTTAGTGAATGGATTAACCTAAACTATAGATGACGAGGAAGTAAGAAGTGCAAGCGAGTTGAAGATGTGAAACAGACTATTCCCAACAAAAAGGAAAGGAAAGTAAAATGAATCAGTACATAACGAGGGAATCAATTAGGGAATACCTCATAATGGATAGTATTAAAAGAATTTCAAGAGGTAAAATAAGAGGATAAAATAAAAATAAACCACAGATTACTTTGTATGAAAATATATATGAATGTATCTCGATCATATTCCTTATGCCATACATATATACTGCTTCTATATGAACCTATTCACAAAACACCTGACACATACCTACTGAAGACGAAACCACACAACCTACCTGCAAAAACGCAAAACAAAAACACACAAATGAATAACCTCTTCACCTTCACCATCATCAGTGCATATCAACAACTATGCAATTCCAGCCCCACACTCAAAGCTCTAACAGATTTAAGGACTTACAATGGTGACACTGACTGGCTCCTCTAGTGTGTTGTATTGCCGAGGCTCAGACTCCCCAGTGCTTGTCTCTTTGCCCTTCTGCTTTGTATAAATGTGGCATATCAGTTCTCACGGGCTTATCGGTGAATGGCCAGAAAGAAGGAAAGAAAAGGGGGGGGGGAGGAGAAGAGGGAGAGGGATGGATGGATGGATGGAGGGGAGGAAGGGAAATGGGAGAGAAAGGGAGGGAGGGAGGGAGGGATGGAGGGATGGAGGGGAAGTGGGAGAGGGAGGGAAAGAGATAGAAAGGGATAGGGAGAGGGAAGGAGGAAGGGAGGGAAGATGAGGGAGATAGACAGTTAGGTGGAGAGAGTAAAGTAAGGATAAATGAGAGAAGGTAAGAATAAAAAAAAAGTAAAAGTAAAAAAGAAAAAAGTAAGAGTAAAAGAGAGAAATACTAAGAATAAAAGAGAGATATTAAGATTAGAATCGAGAAAGAGTAAGAGTTAACAAGAGAAAGAGTGAAAGTAAAAGAGAGAAAGAGTAAGTGCAAAAGAGAGAGAGTAAGAGTACACAAGAGAAAAAGAGTAAAAGTAAAAGAGAGAAAGAGTAAAAGTAAAAGAGAGAAAGAGTAAGAGTTAAGACAGAAAGAGTAAAAGAGGAAAAGTAAGAGTAAATGAGAGAAGTACAAGTAATAGAGAGAAAAGTAGGAGTAATTTTAAAGAAAGAAAGAGTAAGAGTAAGAGTAAGAGTAAGAGTGAGAGTGAGAGAGAAAGAGTAAGACTAACAGAGAGAAAGAGAAAG